AAATAAAGCATTAGTCAAAAGATATATACAGAACATTGAATGAGAATGAGATCCTAAATTCTTTTTGCGATCAGCCACTAATAATAATCTGTGAAATCATTCCAATTAAAGGTAATGTATGCAGTATATATTGTATCATTTTCTTTTGTTAAAGCAACAAGCAAGCGTCAAAGACTGTACATATACAGTATACTTATTTGAACTGTCATGTGTTACTTTAGAAGCCTATAACGGATAGAACAAACTAAAATTAGTAAGTGAGTGAGTGAGTTTAGTTTTTACGCCGCACTCAACAATATTCCAGTTATATGGCCGCGGTCTGTAAATAATCGAGTCTGGATCAGACAATCCAGTGATCAACAGCATGAGCATCGATCTGCGCAACTGGGAACCGATGACATGTGTCAACCAAGTCAGCGAGCCTGACCACCCGATCCCGTTAGTCACCTCTTCATGTAGCTCTGATGACGTGTGAGATGACCATCTCGTATAGAAGACTATAGTATCCAAAGTTTGCTATAGATAATTATTACAAACAGAACCTGTTTGTGTTTGAAAAAAAACCTATTGTGCTCTTAAAACAGAAGACAAAAAATACTGATCGCACCCCCAACCACTACACAAACACCCACACTCAGCGTTACGAACACATGAGCATCAACATTACAAGCGCTTCTATTTTGGCATCCTCAGACAATGTATCCACTGACATAAATTAATAACACCATACATTTTATTCTATTCGTGGCATGTATTTATGTATTTATAGGCATTCATCTGTAATGCCAGTCCGTACGTATTAACACGTGTTTGGAATAATTATTTATCATATGGTAGTGTGATGCGCATCTGCATGGCCTGCTAGTGATGTTATTTATATTAGGTGTGGCAACGAATGTAGTCAGCTCTGGCGTTTTATACATGCATATGTTATGTCTTTCAGGTGGACACACTGGTTGGTGCAAGTGAAAGTGCTCTCGAGGACAAGATAAAGCGCAACCAGTAACATGTAATTTCGGTCAATAAAGCTGTCTTCTGAAACTGATCCAATTCAGTTGGTGCCCATAACGAGTGAATTCTGAATGGTTCCTGAATGTAGTCATACACTTTTTACTCGTTTTAATTAGATGTCGAATATTTAATATAATTATATCTTTTATTATCACAATAAATCTATCATTGATACACACACCCAACTTCGTGTTTGATTCATGTTGAAAGTAGTTTTGCTGTCTGTTTACATGCTGCAGTGTGAGTCACCTGTATGACAGGATATTAAATAGTATCCCGTTAGTCGCCTCTTACGACAAGCATAGTCGCCTTTTGTGGCAAGCATGGGTTGCTGAAGACCTATTCTACCCCGGCTCTTCACGGGTCACTAAAATTAGTGGGCACTTTGAGTTCGTTGTAAGTTACGAGTAAAAGATATCAGTTAACCTCTGAAAAACATGTTGATCATAAATATGGATACACATATGGGCTCCGTTTCAAAAAGCTCTCGCAGCGCTACGATTATCGTATGCCAAAGTTACAGTATAAGAGGTACGAATGCTACGTGAAAGGTTACGAGATCTTAGGCTAACGAGAGATTTGTGAAACGGGGCCCTGGCTCGTAATAGGTTTAGATTATGAAATGCATTTTCATGAGGACCTTTTAACATTACAATCAGCTCTAGAAATTCATGGCTTATTTTCATGTAAGTACTGTACTATTTCCTCTAAATCTCGTTGATTATTCACGACATCGATCTGAGACAGATTTCGTACTGAAACATACATAGGACTGAGTCATACATTGATTGGATTCTGATAAGGCTGATGTCATGTCCGAGTTTTTCACCGATGCTTTGTGCTCTTTCATAGGAGTACATACACGCCTGCCTGTTTCACCTATATGTAGGTGCTGCCACATGTACATTTCAATTTGTACACACATCCTCTTGGGTTAGGGCTAGTTCCACAGCTTCCTTTACCACGGGCTTTTAATAATAGATTTTAGGGTTTTGCCAGATGGGAAGGTAGTGTCAATGCTGGCAGTTTTCTTTAGAAGTCTACTGATGTGACGACTGATGGATCCAACATAGGGAATATTTATGCAGATAGGGGATGGGTCAGGCTTAGTAGGAGGTTGATATCCATGTTCTAAGGTGTTCTTGATGGTGGTTATCAGAACATGTGATCAGAAATCTCAGCCATACCATCAATTGGGATGACACTGACATTTTGGCCATCAACATCAGCAATTGGCGGAAGAGGAAATTGATGGAGGCCATCTGGATCCACCGCGCCAAACCTGAAATAAACAGGGATCAGGGTGTTTTCCTACCAAATGCGTGGTGCATAGAATAACAAGCTTTCCATGTACCTGTTTTCCCATGTTCCCCTTAATCACTGTACATCCTGTGATATGTGTTTTCATATATGTGTTTTTCTATCACTGTTTTCATAAGTGGCTTCCAATCAGTCCTAAGAGGTATATCCAATCCTTTTCATGGTATGAATATACTGTACATCCATTGCAAAAACATATCTCTTTGAACTCTGTAAATCTCAGTCAAAACACATCACTTTATCTCTGTACATCTCAATCGGTAATACTGTCTCACTGGCTTCCTGCACACACTATATACTTTGCTCGTACCATATTCTGTCATTCGCTTGATGAAGGGGCAAGAAACGTCGTGTTGTAAATATGAAAGAAGTTGTAAATCCTTACCATACGTTGTTATGCCACTTAATCTCTTTGAAATCTGTACATCGCAATCAAAACATATCACTTAATCCACTCGATCTCTATACACCTCGATCTTTCATTCCATCTCACCGGCCTCCTGTACGCACTATATATTTTGCTTGTAAATCATATTTTGTCATTCACCTGATGAAGGGGCAAGAAGTAGCCCAGAAACGTTGTGTTGTAAATAAAGACGTTGTAAATCTATACCATTCGTTGTTATGTTACCTTCCAACTTCTAAATGCCCATTAAGCATCTATAGAAACATGCTGGATACAATACAACGTGTTTCATAATGAAGCAATCCCAAAGTATCCTTTTCTCATCTTACAGGTGTCACTGAAGACAATACACATTTCCTACCAAGGTGCAACCCCATCTTCAAGCCAGAGTATAGCTATGGGTTGATGGACTGGCTCGTTGAACCAACATGTTCAGTTCCACAATGTGTGCTTAGTATGTCCGCCATAATTGGTGCACTCTATAACATCGCTGGAATATTGCTGACAATGCAAAACCACTCTTTCTATCAGGGAAGACACTACTGATTTTGTAAACACGTTCGGTATACCCTACTTCCTGGTGAATCATATATCATATATATATATATCTGATCGTTTACCCAATACAACAGAATATATATATATATTAAATGTTCATTTTCGTTTATATTCTTCATAAGATGTGTCCATTGTTTGATTGACTGCGTATAATAAAGAGGAAACAAACAAAGAACAAACCAGTATTAGAAATACATAACGGGAATGTTGAAATTCCAGCGCATCTTCATTGTTGACGCTCATGGTCTACGAAAAAGATGACGAATGGCTGTACATACGACAAAATCTTGCTAAATATCTGCACGAAGTATCTCCTAAACTCTGTCTATGTCATGATCATATATTTATGGGGGCGGTGGGGTAGCCTAGTGGGTTCGATTCCCCACATGGGTACAGTCTGTGATGCCCATTTCTGGTGTCCCCCCGTTGTGATATTGCTGGAATGTTGCCAATAGCGGCGTAAAACTTAAATCACTCACTCACCCGCAACAGCTGGTGCATTATGATGAACATGGCGTGTATTTCCTTTCAGATGAGCCAGAAATATGATTCTTTCTAATGAGTCACAATTATGATAATTGTATATATGATTAATGATCTACGCAAATCACATGAAACCTATATTAATCATTCTGGACACACATATCTGAATACCCGCGAAGGTCCGGGTTAGAATGAACCTTCAGTAACCCATGCTTGTCGTAAGAGGCGAATAACGGGATAGGGTGGTCAGGCTCGCTGGCTAGGTTGACACATGTCATCGGTTCCCAATTGCGCAGATCGATGCTCATGCTGTTGAGGGGCGGTGGGGTAGCCTAGTGGTTAAAGCGTTGGCTCGTCACGCCGAAGACCCGGGTTCGAATGCCCATAAGGGTACAATGTGTGAAGCCCATTTCTGGTGTTCCCGGCCGTGATGTTGCTGGAATATTGCTAAAAGCGGCGTAAAACCAAACTCAGTCAGTCAGTCATGCTGTTGATCACTGGATTGTCTGGTCCAGACTTGATTATTTACAGATCGCCGAATAGCTGGAATATTGCTGAGTGCGGCGTAAAACTAAACTCACTCACTCACATGTCTGAATACATTACAATGCTGACGATACAAGTGTTAACAGAGATGTGGCAGTTGTTGACGATGCCGTGTACATCATGCCAATCCAGGCTAAAATGAATATAAAATTATATAGCGGACACTCAAAAAATAAACCACATAGATTTTAACTAATTCAACCGCAGATTAAAATGCAGTGCAGTGAAAATACTCTCTGAACATTAGTGTTGTTCTTTCATGTTGCACAGTTGGTCTATTTAATGAAACACACTCAACTACCTTGTACAACACGAAAGCATTTACATCCTGGCCACTCCCTTGTCCCTGGTGACCTAAGCTGGCCACAAGTGTCTAACGGTGGTGCACATGATTCTCCTCATGGGCACATTGTATGAAGCCCATTTTTGGTGTCCCCTGCCGTGATATTGATTGAATATATTGGTAAAAGCGGCGTAAAACCAAACTCAATCACTCACACACTCACTATAAAACACCTTTGCGATCACCGCGTTCTTCCCCAGCTGGTGGTAGTATAAGTAGGTTACTATGACTATTGTGTTTATGTATTCATGCATGCATACACTTCGCATCACGTGTATGTAGTGAAATGTGGCAAGGGTTTTGTGGCTATATATTAAAGGTATCTATACAGTCAGAAAACTAGGTCGACACAGGCGGACGCAGAACGAGTATCATATCCAGGTAAGTGATTATATTTTATCCCATTGCCTGCAGATTTTCTACCTTGAAGACAGTATTTGTGTATAGGACATGTCCAGGTAAGTGATTATATTTAACCCCATTGCCTGCAGATTTACTACCTTGAAGACAGTATTTGTGTAGAAGACATATCCAGGTATGTGACTATATTTTATCCCATTGCCTGCAGATTTTCTACCTTGAAGACAGTATTTGTGTATAAGACATATCCAGGTATGTGACTATATTTTATCCCATTGCCTGCAGATTTTCTACTTTGAAGACAGTATTTGTGTATAGGACATATCCAGGTAAGTGATTATATTTTACCCCATTGCCTGCAGAATTTCTACCTTGAAGACAGTATTTGTGTAGAAGACATATCCAGGTAAGTGATTATATTTTACCCCATTGCCTGCTGATTTTCTACCTTGAAGACAGTATTTGTGTAGAAGACATGTCCAGGTATGTGACTACATTTTATCCCACGGCCTCCAAATTTACTACCTTGAAGACAGTATTCGTGTATAAACCATGTCCAGTACCTCGCACACAAGGTAGCTGATATGTCATGCAATGGTACTGATGTTCGTGTATAAACCATGTCCAGTACCTCGCACACAAGGTAGCTGATATGTTATGCAATGGTACTGATGTGGGAGGGATCAGGTGGAGGGATCTTCTCACGAGTCGTTTTTCCCATCAGCCTTTCGATTGTGGAACAATTTATCTGCAGAAGTAACAAATAGTACTTCACTATCAAAATTCAAATCGAGCATTAAACATCCTACAGCTCAGCTCCACTGTACTGACGGTATTAGAAAACTCAACATACTACATACGCAAATACGTCATAGAGCTAGCAGGTTACTAATATGCTACGATCTGTATAGAGTAAGGGTAATCACAGATCCCACGCGGAGATGCTCAGCGTTATTTCTTAGAGTGTTCATTATACAATCAACATAGAAAGATCATGCTTAAAGCTATTTAAGATGTCTGTGATGGTAATTATGTGATTTTAGTATCTGTCCATTTGAACGTGATTGCAGATCTCACAAAGTATAAACATGAAATTATATTAAAAATTGTACATCAGGATAAAAGCAAATCAAAACGACCCCAGTAGGTTTCTTTCTATACACCTTTTGCATTATAATATTTCCCATGAACTGTCAATCTTCCTCTGTGTCTGATTCCAGTGGTTGCTTTCGCAGAGTTTTGTTATTGTAAATATTCTTGGAGAGAATTTTAGCAATATTCCAGCAATATCACGGCGGGGGACACCAGAAATGGTCTTCACACATTGTGCCCATGTGGGGATTCTGTGTCTGCAGCGAGAGTTTCTTTTCTGTCCGTCAACACCGGTGTGGATATGCAATTTGTAAAGGGAAATCAATATAACAAAGCAAATTTAAATATTCATTCTAGCACGACATTGTGTGATACTCGATTCTGACTTGCTGAGAGTTCAAGGGACGCTATTTAAAGTGACCGATTGTCCGCGTATGAATACTGTTGTGCAACTAGTATTATTAGCATCTGGGTGACCGGAAGCGGCATGGTGTGTGTGGGGTAGTAACGAATAAAGTATGGGACTGCCACGACGTGTCTCTCGTTTGTATATATCGTTTATTCGTTTTTTAGGCCATCGGCCCATGTGATGAAATCTGCCCTGGCGAACACTTCATTTGGCGACCAGGGTGCCGTTCCACTAACCGATCTTAGCCCTATGCTAATAGTAAACCCCTCAAATCCCAATCTTAGCGTGACGTTAAGAACGGCATACCGTTCCACTAACCAATCTTACCTAAGTCAATCGTAAAGTTAAGATTCAAAGTCTACGTTGCTCATGACCAACTTAGGATAGATAAAATCAATTGTAGAGAAACCAAAATGGTGGCTTTCCTATTCTATGTGAAAAATAAGAGCCATGACATGAATCTGTATATTTCTGTGATGTAAACACACAGTATAGTGAAGCCTTACAAATGTCAGGCCAGTCTGACCACTGTCGTCATGGGAACACAACCGAGCGAGTCGGTGTAACACATTTGTACAACAATATTGCAACGTTATGGTTAAGAATAGGGACAGCCGTGAAGTGAACAATGTTCTGAAACAAAAAGATACAAATATGTTTGATTTCACGTGCGCTTATTTGGTGGGGGATTGTAAAGGCAGGCCGCGTGTTATTCAAGACCACTGACAGATTCTAGATACGTTATAGAGGATGCCTCGTCACGCCATGTTTATTCTGATATACAAGGTTCAGGCACATAATAAAAGCTCTGACACAATTGACATTTTTTAAGTCCAGACTTAAAACCTGTTCTCAGTATATTACTTATAATCTCGGCTGTAAATACTGTCGTGTAAATTATCTGTACATAGCGCTTTGAGCATGCCCCAGGATGTGGAATATGCGCACTATAAATATGCATTTATTATTATTATATTATGCCTGATACCCAGCAGCGTTCACACACACTTGCACCTGAAACCAAGGTGCTCACTACCCTAATATTTTGCTCTAGGTTTTTTCTCCACGTTTACACTTGGTTGGAAAAATACCCATGAAGGCCCGGATTAGAATATTGAACTTCAATAACCCATGCTTGCCGTAAGAGGCCACTAACGGGATCGGGTGGTCAGGCTCGCTTACTTGGTTGACACATGTCATCGGTTCCCAACTGCGCAGATCGATCCTCATGCTGTTGATCACTGGATTGTCTGGTCCAGACTCGATTATTTATAGCTAAGATACATGGCGTTCACTAACATGAACGCTCATGTTAGTGAACGCTATGCATCTTAATTAGCTAGATTATTTACAGACCGCCGCGATATAGCTTGACTATTGCTGAGTGCGGCGTAAATCTAAACTCACTCACTCAGTAGGTTCGTAAACTACTTCCATCATTTGCTAGAATATGCAAAGGGAAATAACTCGTGCCTCGCACTCCTCTATCTCTCGCACGAAAGAGTCTCGATCTAAGCTTGGGTCGGATCGTAAGATCGGGACCGGCTACGATCGGCCTAAGATCGGGTAGTGGAACGGGTGTAACTTTTAGCTAAGACGATTGTAAACTTGGCGTAACTTGCTAAGATTGATCTTAGATAAGATCGGTTAGTGGAACGGCACCCAGGATGGAAACTTTAAGGTCACATGCAACGTAAAACACAACTTTGCAGATTATGATACCTTTCGGTATGGACTTACCGAAGCAAATAATCAAAAATGCAAATTCAGCTTATAAAATTGAAAAATAACGCGATGAAAAAAACCCCGCGAAATCGGAGTTCAAACGATTCACTAATTTTCCCCCAGCAGCTTGGGGGAAAAAGTGGTTTCAACAGCTGGGCTGCGCTGCGCTGCGCTCGTAGAGCATACGCAGTGAATAGGTTTGTAGTGATTGATTACTACAGCCGGTACTATGAGGTTGTTATGTTGAAGTCCATTACCTCACATGATATCATTAAACATTTAGAAGAAATGTTTGCCAGATTTGGACTTCCTCTCTCCGTCATCAGTGACAATGGTAGACAATTCATATCAGCCGAACTGATACTTAAATGAGTGTGGGATCATTTTGACACACACAGCACCTTTGTGGCCTAGTGCTAACAGTGAGGTTGAGAGACGGAATAGGTCACCCATGAAACGAATTTGCAATGCTCAAGCTGAAGATACAAACTGGAAAAGAGCCATACAGACTTACTTAATTTCTTACAGATCAACGCCACAATCAACGACAGGACAGACGAGAGACACGTCTTGACAGTCCCATACTTTATTCGTTACTACCCTATACAGGCCATGTCGCTTCCGGTCACCCAGATGCTAATAATACTAGTTGCACAACTTATTATCACCAATACATTACAAATACAATGAACTCTTTGACCCTTTTGTTTGTAAACAAACCAGACTCCGGCGCAGTGATGACTTAGCACAGGGAGACTCTATAAGGTATCCCCTGCTTAGCATAACATCACTGCCACAGGCTAATTTTAGCACCTTATCGGACTTTTCTCTTGCTTGTAAACAAACGCGTATATTCGTAAATAAGACATATTTTTATATATCAAACTGGCTGCATCGTTTGCTCTCCGCCGGTTTCGATGACAGCACGTGGAGTCGTACGACCTATGTAAACAAAGGATCGCTATGCAAATGGAAATAGCGTTACACGTTTGAGGATATTTTCTCAGTGAAACTAAACCATTCTATCAAAGATGATTAATAAGATGTGTAGACTCGTCCAAAATAAAAGCGCTAGAAAATATATACAATATATTGAATGGACTGTGTAAGACGTGACGAATCGTACTATGCTGATCGCATGGAACTCTGGGTAGGAGAGTGAAAACAAACATGTCGGCCATTGTTGATTTCTACCTCGACAGCAGTCTAAGTACACTTAGGATCATTATTATTCGTTACACTGGTGTAACAGATAATACTGAGCATAAGTTTACTTAGACTGCCTTGGCAGCACCTATGAAGCAGTTTTCTGTTTGTTTAATCGTAATTAACCTTAGATATAATTATTAAATCTGATATCTTAGAAAATAAATACAGTTCGCCCTACAGGCGTCCTCATACTTTAACTGTAATACTTCAAGTCAATTCTGTACTTTATTACACTATACATGGTGGTAGAGCGAAATACAGTGTTTCTTAATAATTGAAAACAGACAATTTATTACTAGTTGATATTTTTTATTACTAATATATATATTCAGACCCATGATATGTAAATAATTTATTAATGTTTCCTTTTGTTTCAGAAGTGAAAGAACGATGCAGATTCTTAAAACAAAGGTAAATTGTATACTAATTTGAAAACAGAGAACATGACCCTCTAATTATCCAATCAAACTATTCATTAGTGAATATGATACATGGTCTGACGCAGCGGGTAACCTTCGGTAAACGTAAACTTATTCTCAAGTAACTGTTTCTACGACGGTATAGGTTACATAGAGAATACTACACGAGGTCTCATTACATACGAATTATACGAAACGAGTGTCCTTCCTATGGTATCTGACCGAGCGAAAGCGAGGTCAGATAACATAGGAAGGTCACGATCGAAAGCGAGGTCAGATAACATAGGAAGGTCACGAGTTTCGTATAATTCGTATGTAATGAGACCGAGTGTGGTATTTTATTTATTAACCACGTCTTACATGCATTACATTGACAAAATAGCGTATTTTTGTTAATATTTTGGTTTCAAACCGAAACCGGTTTCATAAAGAGGTTGCGGAAGAGTTTTGTACTGTAGTACAATATTTGCATGATGTCACACTGTAATGACGTCACTGCCTTGGCAACCGACGTCACGATGCATGTCAGTTGTCATCGCCTCGTACAGCCTCCTACAGTAAACTACTCCGTAGCACCCCGTTTCTTGGTTTGCAGTTGCTTCATTCGTCTAACATCACTGGTGGAAACATTGCGTTTATGTTTTTCGACGGATATAATGTCTCAGTTCGACTCACAATTAAACAGCGACACGGCAACGTTCGCAATGTTTACATTCCCACAATGCATTTAAGTTGTAGAATGAATGAATTCACGTGTTTGTTAAGAATGAAAAAATAGTTACGTCAGAATGTGACCTCATTGAGAGGTCATCAGTTATCCAATCAAATCGTTAGAATCTCAGGTCAAGTCGTTACGACACAGGTCAACGCCATACGACACACGTGTGACGTACGAGATTAGTATGCAACTACCCATACGTTGACCACGTGGGTAATAAAGAGAGGATACTAAACGACGATCCGTGTAATACCATTTTTATTAAACGAGCGAAAGCGAGTTTGATGCTAAATCTTTCACGAGTTTAATAAAAATGGCATTTCACGGAAGCGAGTTTAGTATTCTGTTTATTACTCTCCAACATAAATTGATCGAAACTGCGTCGAAACTGCCTACAGTGTGATGACTCTAGCTTTCCGCGAGTCACGCAAGGTATAATACCATTGGGACAGAGGTATTAGCATTGTGACGTCATAGCTGTAAACCATTATGACGTCATACGTCTGGCGGTATTACACTAGTGTACTACTAATGTAAAAATATTACACTGCAGTATCTTTCGCGGGCGAGTAATACACCTGTATATAAACTGACGTGCAAAAGAAAGTATTTTTGCATTACTTTCCAAAAAGCGACGTAAATGTTTTGAAAAGAGTGGTTTTTTACAGTGATATATAAGTCACAGACTTTCCTATATATATCAAAACACCACAGATATCGTGTCCAATTGCGAAGTTGCCAGCCAAACACTTTTCAAATAATCCCAAAACACTAGGTGTGTACTTTCTTTTGTCCGTCAGTTTATATTAACATTTTCGTTTTCTTGACATAATGATTCACAGGCTGGGTTCGACGAGGCTCTGGCATCCAATTCAGGCTTGGTCGTCGTCGACTTCTCGGCTGACTGGTGTGGTCCGTGCAGAGTGATAAAACCTACACTTGAGGTAACTGTGTTCTTTGATCTTTAGTGAGTGAGTGAGTGAGTTTGGTTTTACGCCGATTTAGCAATATTCCAGCAATATCACAACGGCGGACACGAGAAATGACTGACTGACTGAGTTTGGTTTACGCCGCTTTTAGCAATATTCCAGCAACATCACGGCGGGGACACACAGAAATGGGCTTCACACATTGTACCCATGTGGGAATCGAACCCGGGTCTTCGGCGTGATGAGCCAACGCTTTAACCATTAGACTACCCAACCGCCCCACGAGAAATGGGCTTCACACAATGTACCCATGTGGGGAATCGAACCCGGGTCTCCAGCGTGACGAGCGAACGCTTTAACCACTAGGCTACCCCACCGCCCCTATTATGGAAGGAATATTCAACACAAAACCGGGCACTCTTCTTCACTTTGATAAGAAAAGGTATTATTTGGATACCCCGAGGAAAGAAATGTGCCCAAACGCATCATAATTGTCACAAAATACAATATTTCAAATCAAGATTAGAAAATGTCGAAATTTCATATAAGTTAGATAACTGCAACTCGAAGATACATTGCAGTGTACCATCATGTCTACAGTTTTGGTCTTCATGCCATATGCTTTGTTACTTGAAGTGATTTAGTTCATTTCATATTCACTGACAGTGTACATCTGCAAGATCATTATCAAAATTCCAGGAAATGTCTTTACGTTGTAAAGTGGACTATTCCCTGTATGTTGACTTTGTACGAAAAAAAAAGTTAAATAAGACTAGATATTCCAGCAATATCCCGACCGGAGTCACTAGAAAAGGTGCAACCCATTTCCCCTGCAACATGCATCAGTGAGTGAGTGGGTATGATTTTACACCGCGTTTAGCAATATTCCAGCAATATGACGGCGTGGGACATCAGAAATGGGCTTCACACATCGTACCCATATGGGGATTCGAACCCGGTCTTCGTGACGAGCGAACGTTAAACCACTAGGCTACCCCACCGCCCCTCGACAGGCTGAGCTGGGCCGTATTATCACATGATCTTTTTCACAATGACTGTAACATAGGCAGCGTGTCCAATCATTTCCATGTCCGATCTCTGAGCAGGAAACGAGCACTTTCAAAAGAATTTATCAGAGGCGCAAAAATTCAGATGATTTCACACTTGCAAAATACAAGAGGAAATATTCCGTCGATTCCATTCTCGTCGTTTACACGATGATAAAACATCGTGCACGGATTGGAATAATATTTTCTCAATTCGATATGAGAAAATATTATCGAGAAGTTTGGTTTTTTATTAGCCGATCTGATTCCTTTTCAAAGAAAAAAGGATTTTCTATACTCTGCTCATAAACGAAAGTACCTTAAACTTCTTAAACTTGAGGGGCGGTGGGGTAGCCTAGTGGTTAAAGCGTTGGCTCGTCACGCCGAAGACTCGGGTTCGATTCACCACATGGGTACAATATGTAAGGCCCATTTCTGGTGTCCCCGCCGTGATATTGCTGGAATATTGCTAAAAAGCTCACTCACTCACTCTTAAACTTGACGAGAGAACGCTTCAACCACTTACCGCCCCATGTTCTAATAACACGATACCTCGAACACAATTGGCGATTTATACATACCATGCTGTCTTCACTATATATGATAAAATCACTCATAAATGAATATTGCATCTGATATTTCAGACGATGGAGAAGAAATACCCAAACGTTGCGTTCTTCATGGTCAATGTGGACGAAAATTCGGTAACAAAAATGATATTTCTTGTCATTGTCGTTTTGTTTGTTGTTTACAATCCACAGCATTCACCAATGTTCCAGCTTCATCACGACTGTCGTAAAATAAAGCAATCAGACAATCCAGTGATCGATGTCATGGACACCAATCTATGCAAGTTAGATACGAAGACATGTATGAACCAAGTCATCGGGCCTGATTATCCGATCCGGTCTTACATAATGCTACCGGAAGAAATCCATGTCCTTCCGAAGGAAATGCGCTATTGAATTTTTTCAGCTAGAATGAGTAAGTGCGTTAATTTTTAGGCCGTTTTTAGCAATATTTCAGCAATATCACGGCGGGGGACACCAGAAATGGGCATTGTGCCCATGTAGGGGAATCGAACCCGGGTTTTCGGCGTGACGAGTGAACGCCTTTACCGCTAGACAACCCTACCGCCACTTTTCAGTTGCAAGTGTGAATCATTTTTAAATTAGTACAAGTGTGTAAAGTATTATTCATATAACGAGTACTGATTATATTATACTGGCGGTGTGTATGACCATTCCATTGTGTTTGTATACCAGGAAACTGCCGAGAAGTGCGACATTCAAGGTTTGCCGACGTTCAAGTTTTACAAGAACGGAACAGAAGTAAGTACAGAATGATGCAATACTGTAGTACGAAATCCTACGAAGTCAACCAAGCCTCAATTGCAGTATAGTTCAGTAACATGTTATTGGATATATAGAATAGCTCATTAACATGTCACTGGACATATACAGTTAACTAAGGGCATGGTGTATAGGATGACCTCTATTATAACAATAGTAGTTTCTAACACCTTTTCCAAATATGTTTAGAGTGAGTGAGTTTAGTTTTATTACAGCTATATGGCGGGGTCTGTAAATAATCGCGTCTGGACCAGACAATCCAGTGATCAACAGCATGAGTATCGATCTACGCGATTGGGTTCGATGACCAACCAAGTCATCGAGTACTGCTTAACCGATCCCGTTAGTCGCCTCTTACGACAAGCTGAAGACCAATTCTAACCCGGATCTTCACGGGACAAACATGTTTAGAATCTATTTTGCAGAATGTAACTGACTTTGCAAAATCATATGAATTTAGCCTTCGAATTCAGACATTATTAGAACAGTGATAGATTATTGATATGTTAACAGATCACATATATCTATTATTATTATTAGTAGTAGTTACGTAGTATAAATAATATTAATCAATTACAATGTCTGAATATATAGTCATTCTAACTCCGCCAGACGGTAATTGCATCAGTTATAGCCAAGCCATATGTTACCATGTCCCTTATCCCAATAATTGTCCATTGCAATACGTGAGTAGGTACTTCTGATTCAGCCAGATTTTCATTTTCATTATATCAGAAGTCAATTGTCGCAAATTAGAATGCTGGAACGGTCGTAGAAGCTATTCACAATTATATCCTTGCTGATATAACTCTACGTTTGAACAACCTTGCCTCTAGTTTGAACTGCACTGCTCTCTATCTTAACAGCCGGCGTCCAAAACAATTACAGGATCCTTCATACGAAACAGTTTAGTCAAAAGTATGATCAAGGATTCCTTATACTAGGAGAAGTCAAATTTGTTGTCACAGGTTTTGTCTGTTTGTTTGTATATAACGCCGCACTCAGCAATATTCCAGCTATATGGCGGCAGTCTGTAAATAATCGAGTCTTTACCAGATAGTCCAGTGCTGACCCAATTGGGACCAGACGCAAACTGGGATACGATGACATGTGTCAACCAAGTCAGAGCCTGACCAATTGATCCCGTTAGTCACCTCTTCACGTAGCTCTGATGACGTGTGAGATGACCATCTCGTATAGAAGACTATAGTATCCAAAGTTTGCTATAGATAATTATTACAAACAGAACCTGTTTGTGTTTTGAAAAACCCTATTGTGCTCTTAAAACAGAAGACAAAAATACTGATCGCACCCCCAACCACTACACAAACACCCACACTCAGCGTTACACACACATGAGCATCAAGATTACAAAGCGCTTCTATTTTGGCATCCTCAGACAATGTATCCACTGACATAAATTAATAACACTTTACATTTTATTCTATTCGGGCATGTATTTATGTATTTATAAGGCATTCATCTGTAATGCCAGTCCGTACCGTATTAATACGTGTTTGGAATAATTATTTATCATATGGTAGTGTGGATGCGCATCTGCATGGCCCGCTAGTGATATATAGAAGGTGTGGCAACATGGTTCTGGATATGTAGTCAGCTCTGGCGTTTATACATACATATGTTATCTCCCTTCAAGGTGGACACACTGGTTGGTGCAAGCGAAAGTTTTCTCGAGGACAAGATAAAGCGCAACCAGTAACCTGTAATTTCGGTGAATAAAGCTGTCTTCTGAAACTGATCCAATTCAGTTGGTGCCCATAACAGTGAATTCTGAATGGTTACTGAATGTTGTCATACACTTTTACTCGTTTTAATTAAATGTCGAATATTTAATATAATTATTTCTTTTATTATCTCCATAAATATGTCATTCATACACACACCCAACTTCGTGTTGGATTCGTGTTGAAAGTAGTTTTGTTGTCTGTTTACATGCTGCAGTGTGAGTCACCTGTATGGCAGGATATTTAATAGTAATAGTAATACATGTAGTCCCCTTTATATGGCGCTCATATCCAGGCACATTGCCTGCTCACGGCCTTATGTACATTACTATCCTCGGTAATAGGACACTATCATACTTTTCCGGATACATTTTCAACTCCCTAGGGAACATACAGCCATGCTGCCTGTTAGGCGCAATGAACTAAACACTCGCATTCGTCAGCACATCCTCTCAAGGGTACCCATTTTTACAGCTGGGTGAACTGAGACAATGTGGATCTAAGTATTTTGTCCAAGGATACTACATAATAAATGTGCCCACCTCAGGATCCGAACCTAGGTGCCTTCACCGGCTTTGATCGAACCTGGGCCTTCAGCGTGATAGGCAGACGCCTTACCACTGCACTATTGCGCTCCACACAAATGTTGGCTTGTGATTGCACTACGATGGTGATTTCTCTCTTATATATGAGTAAATGGTAAAATGTCACGTTAAGCTGCACCATTCGGACAATTCATTATGAAGACAGCCAGGAATACGGACAGAAGTATTCCTGAGATGACGTGAAGCCTTTACAGCCTACAAGGGGCTACTCTCAGTTTTCAAGACAACCTGGTTTAAAGTGGACATTGTCTGTTTCTCTCTCTCTCTCTCTCTCTCTCTCTCTCCTCTCTCTCTCTGCCTCTCTCTCTCTCTCCCTCTCTCCTCTCTCTCTCTCTCTCTCCTCTCTCTCTCTCCTCTCTCTGCGTTGTGCCAAAGTGCCACCACAACGTTCTCGTAGAAGACCCGGGTTCGATTCCCCACATGGGTATAATAATGCTGAAGCACATTTTGTGTCCCGACGTGATATTGCTGGAATATTGCAAAAGCGGCGCAAAGCCATGCTCACCCACTCCTTTACAAATAGAAGTAGTGTTGAGACGTCGGTCAAAGTGATGGTTTGACGTTCATTTTCGAGGTTTCCAGACAAGACCATTCCATCGAGTTAGTGCAAAGTGAATATGGACTTATCCGAAAACAGAACACCTGGCCAGCGACGTTTATCTCTGTTTTCGAAGTTGTGTACATCATTGATGTGTGTTGAACGGTCAATCGTCAACATTTTGGATTCGCTTGTTCCTGCCTCATCGTCTGTGAAGAAACATTGAACGTGTTGACCAGGGCCCTTATTTCTCAAAAGCGATCGTAGAGCTGGAGGTGATCGTACCTCCATAATTTAGCATAGACTTCCGACAGTCGCAGCTACGACGCTTCTTTCAAACGGCCCCCAGGGATGCGGTTGTACAAAGCGAACATAGCGCTAAGGTGACCGTCACTCCGATACGTTAACATAGACTTCGTGGACTCTCATTGCTAAGGGGGCGGTGGGGTAGTCTAGTGGTTAAAGCGTTGGCTCGTCACGCCGAAGACCCGGGTTCGAATCCCCACATGGGTACAATGAGTGAAGCCCATTTCTGGTATCCCCCGCCGTGATATTGCTGGAATATTGCTAAAAGCGGCGTAAAACCAAACTCAGTCAGTCAGTCACTCATCGCTAAGGGTGCTTTGTATAATGACACACAGTGCACTGCTTTCTGTCAGTTTCCAGCATGTCGGTACTGGTGTCGCCATTTCACCCTCAAACGGAGAAATAACTTCAAGTAAGTCATAACTTTATGTTAAACATACGATTAATAGAAATAATTGTCCACAAAGATTAATCGACCTTGCTTAAAAGCGTCATTTTCAGGAATGACACCCATTGCGTGCAAACTGTGTTTAGTGTTAAGTCTTGCATACATTTACGTTCAAAAGATGTTATATATTTTTCAACACTTATATTTGTTCAGTTACTTTGTTTAACAGTATTAACATTATTTTACTTTTCACGAGTTTCTAGTCACATTTATAGTCTGTCAACCTAACTTTTGGGACTGCATTTTTGGCAAATAACATTTTTGTTATTCGTTTCAATGTAAAAGTGTTTACATGTACCTTCATGGTTCTCCGTGACTGAGCATTAATGTCATTTATTATTGTATGTAACTGAGGGAAGAGGTCTTGCACACATTTCCCAGCATCAATACTTTTCCGGAACTTGGATCCGCTGGCAAACACCTACCTAGTCTGTCGTACAATACCCTCTGAAACAAATATATCCAAAAGCCCACACAAGTCTAGAAAATGTGGCAAGTCTAAGAGTTTCCTCAAACTGAAAATGAAGAAGGTCTCAGGGCTCCTTTTCATTATATTTATTTTATTTTACTATGAACTTTTTTTTCAGTAAAAATATGTTTATTTCAGAGACTAGGTGTTAGTCCTAACACCTACCCTAAACCATACATGTATTTCGAGACAGTGGGAGAAAAGAGGTTCTTTTAAATAGATTTCGTCTTGGGCATTGTGGTCTTGGTGCATATCTCAGTATTAGTAATAAAAGATATTTCTGCGAATTGTTGAGTGTGTAATCAGCTAGATAATGTGGCGCATTATCTAGTGCATTGCCAAAAAATATGTTAAATCATAAGGCGATGGTGGAATCTCTTACAGCTCTCAATATTGACATCTCATTGGCTGGACTAGTGTGCTCAAGGAATATCATTCTCCATGAAGTTCAGAGTCTCATTCTTGATGATATTATAGGGTGTGGCAGCTCTATAATGGTATAAAAGTTTAGAAACTTAGCAAACCTTTATGATGGGCAAGGTGTAAATGGGCCTGGTTGCCCGAACACGTTATCAGGTTACAACACTCCACTACGTGTACATGTATCCTCAGGAAACCCTCACTGAGGAAAAATAGCTTACTCAGCTGAAAGAAGACGTGCGACGAACTTGGTAAGTCCCCACGAACCTTGTGTCTTATAGATATATGTGAAAGGTTACTGTTATACCACAGTAAGTGCAATTGTGCTATGCAGTTACTGTTCTAAAGAAATGGAAGATGTCATATATATATTCTGGGAATGCAGCAAAGTGAGTTCCATCTGGAGAGGACCTGGAAAGTTGGATATCGCACAAAATGCAAAACCCGGTAACAATATCCAAAGAGAATGTTCGTTTTTGCTATATATCGAAAAATAACAATCCTTTTAAACCTTGTCATTATCCTGTCAAACAAATCATTTTAAACTTTAGAAAATAATAACAACATTCTAGTTGATACAAAAAGGAGCTCACTGAATTTTAGTGAAAGTCTGTCATTAATTGTAATAGAAACTACTTCAATAAAGGTTTGGTACAAAACTGCCATGATCTATTCTCTTGAATATATTGTTATGCAAAACCGTGTAAATTATAAGAAAATGGTGTTATGCCCCTCTGGCGGGTGTTATTAATAAAGCGTCTTTGTCTGACGGTGAGGGTGGTGGGGGTAGCCTAGTGGTTAAAGCATTTGCTTCTCACGCCGTAGACCCGGGTTCGATTCCCACATGGGTACAATGTGTGAAGCCATTTCTGGTGTACCCAGTCGTGTTATTGGTGGAATATTGTAAAACTAACACTCACTCACTTTTTGACCGTGAGTCATAAATACCTGCTAAAGTGGCAATCGTACGAGAGTGGCTTTTGAGGAGAGTTCACATGAATACGGAAAGCTGAAATGCATATCTCTCTACAACTTGCGGACATGTGTCTATAGTGACGGAATTAATCATTCTACAAAAGGCTCATGACAATGACATCTTAATGGTTTTTTTGTCTTTTGAAGACCTATTTTCACCTGAGAAAAGTTAAGCATCCCAACTTTTACAAAGTTACAAATGTTTCAGTTAGCATCAGTGATGTGCCCACCCCGTACATTGGTAAAGCTATTAATGTTTTTTTCTGTAAGATCATGTCTTGACTACAGGAAAACACGAAAAAACGGCCTTTTCTTCAACGTTTTCATAATTGCTATGGCACAATACACAGATCATGAGACCTGTTACAAGTAACGAAGCTGGAGAAAGGATCATGTGCGTGCATGTGGTCCGACAAAACGTTTATTTTGTAACTTGGGAACGTTGTTCAGTCAATATCTAGAGGATCACTTTTTTATGGATAGAGAGCTTCTGTATTGCAATAGATACGACATTTCGGTGTAGATCCTAATACCGTTATCAAACCAAATGATACCAGTGTTAGGATATACACCGAAACGCCATCTATTGCAATAAAGGAGTTACCTATCCATAAAGTGTTCCTCTTCATCACACCAACATCATCATAAATGCCACTTATAGAAACCAATATCTAGTGTACCCTCGACGGGCTTGTATAACTTTGCCTGCAGCCCACGTCGCATACATATCATCATACACAAGCTGACCCTTGAACATAGTTCAGACTGTCAGCGGTGCTATTTAGAGGTGCCAAGAAAACTCTAAAAACCCATATATATTGGACTATACACTGGTATATGACAATTAACAGAATAACTGGTGTTCCCGAAGCGGTGAACGAATTTTACCCAATCGCTGGCACTCTTCAACAGAAAAGGCAAGTTCATTTTTTTCTCATACAAATCTAAAACACAGGAGAATGCATTATAAGGCAAAAGGGAATAGTATAGACACTATTTCTGTTACCGGTGTATCAACTTTTGAAATGTCAACCTCATATCTGAGACATTGAACGTTATAACGTAACTTTAACTCTGATCAGGATTCGCGTGAAGCTCCTTGAAATTTGTTTGATTGTTTCTTGACAGACAGACAGACAAAATAGTTTATTTATGTGTTAAGTGAATGTACATGTCAAAAATGGCAACGGTAAAAGACATAGAAAAAATACAGACACCAGGCCAGATGGCCAATGAGACACACTAGACAATATGTGCATAAAATGTATAAAATATAAGATTAAAACATTTAGGAGTATCACTCATATGAAAGACCCTAAGGAAAAACAAAGAAACTTTATAGGGATGATAGCTTACGCCGATACATACGGCCCCAACTAAAGCGGCCAGTGGATTAACAATAACTTATGTTTGTACGAGGAATGTAGCTTGTTCAGTGTTTGATAACTGAGCAAAATTTGGGTGTAAGATAATAGATTTTCTAAACTTATCGTTAATACGGACCCGGGCTTAGGTACTGTCATACATGGACTGAACTGAGTGTAAGAACTTCCTGTTAATGCCAAGCTGCAGTAGTTTATACCAAAGACAGTGTCTGTTTACCTTATCAAAAGCCTTCATAGCATCAATATAGCAAAAACAAAAGTAGACTTGTTAGCCTGTTTTCTATTTTTTATAACTGAATAAATGCTATACAAGTGCTATAAGGTTCCACGCATTCCAGTAATATTCCAGTTATATGACAGTGGTCTGGACCAAACAATTCGGTGATTGGCTCGTGAGGATCGGTCTACGCAAATTGGCATGGGATACGATGACATTCATCAACCAAGTCAGTGAGCCTGACCACCCGATCCCGTTAGTCACCTCCTACGACAAGCATTGGTTGCTGATTCTAACCGTATATTTACGAGTGCTTCTTGAAGTAGTTATGTCTCTACGTCAGTCAGTCTTCACTACACTCCTTGGCGGTGGGGTAGCCTAGTGGTTAAAGCGTTCGCTCGTCAGGCCGAAGACCCGTGTTCGATTCTCCACATGGACACAATGTGTGAAGCTTATTTCTGGTGTCCCCGCCGTGTTATTGCTAAAAGCGGCGTAAAGATAAACTCACTCACTATACTCGTTCACCGCAGCTGTGAACGCTTAGGACCTGTTTCACTTATAACTTTCCCCACCCCTGTGACAACTGAGAACAGTAATGTTCCAACAACGCTGAACAACCCTTTGAAGTGATTATACACATTCTCAATACGTTTGTAAAGGCTTCATAGATAAGCGTCTACGGGTGACTGCACACAAAAACAGGTCTAACAAATCCCTTCCAATACGTAGAGATTCAGTGAAGAAGTAAATGCTAACGTTCAAATGTTTCAATTTTCTGTATACTCACGGGTCCTCTGTCGTTCCTTTGATCCAGTGAACTAAAGCTAGTATATGAGAGAGATAGATGACAGAGTACAGTCAGAACGGTACGTTGACAGGCAAGCAGTGAACGCAAATCGGGTAAGTACAGATACACGTATTTGCTTCCCTTGTATTAATTAAGATGTCAAAATATAATAAAAGATATTTGCATAACTAAACCATTATTTTCTTGAGATATTTTCTTTAAATATTCAACGCCAGAAAATAACTATTCTGGATACACCGATACAGATTCAATTGGGTGAAGTAACATTTAATAAATGATTTATATGAATGGGTAAATTAGTGACTGTTATACGCCACCATGTAATGCTTTTCTGTTTCAGATAAAAGAAAGATGAGGATTCTCGAAACGAAGGTAAAATCATCAGTACTCATTTTGTACACAAGCCTGCCACTTTCATCATCAATAAGTTGGTACACTCACCTCATACACCCCTCGATTATTAACAGACCGCCGCCATATACCTGGAATATTGCTGAGCGCGGCGTTAAACAGCAAACCAAACCAACCAGTCAATGAGTCTTCACATTTTGAAACTGATACCCGTATCATCATGTTGCTTCTGGCATGTTTCCCATTCAGTGTGTTAATAGTCACATTTATAATTTACAGGACGACTTTGACCAGATCCTGGCGGAGAATCCAGGCAAACTGATCGTGGTGGACTTCTTCGCCACATGGTGCGGTCCGTGTATAACCATAGCACCTTTCCTTGAGGTAACTTTGTCGAGTGAGTGAGTATGGTTTAACGCCGCTTTGGCAATATTCCAGCAATATCACGGCTGGGGACACCAGACATGGGCTTCACATTATTGTACCCATGTGGGGAATCGAACCTGGTCTTCGGCGTGGCGAGCAAACGCTTTAACCACTAGGCTTACCCCCACCTGCATGCATGCATGCATTATGTCATGTACATTATTGATGTTCAGCAGAGGCGATAGACTGGCGCTTTGTCTCTGAATATATTTAATTGTAATAGAAATTGAAAAGGAGCCCAGTGAGATGGGAGAAACCTGGGGAAATCTAGACTTGCTTCATTTAGTGCTTTTGTATTAAAGAAAAACCTCGGTGGGAGGGAAAATACTGCGGTTCAATGACTGTGAGAGGGGTACAATGGCAACAAGTGAGTGCAACACTGTATATGTATTGAGGTGGTTGTAGCCAAATGGTTAAAGCGTCCACTCGCCACGCCTAAGACCCGGGTTCGATTCCCACATGGGTATAATGTGTGAAGCCCATTTCTGATGTCCCCGCCGTGACATTGCTGGAATATTGTTAAAAAAGCGGCGTAAAACTAAACTTACTGTATATGCATTGCTGCTTAAACCTGATCAGATGTTGTGAAACTTGCGCTTCTCAAAACATGTATCTAAGCTCTAAAATTATTTCAATACTTGTACATCCAAGCACAAAATATGACTTTAAGAAGACTTTGTATCTACTTCAGTCTCTGTCGGAAAAGTACCCGGAAGTTGTGTTCTCCAAGGTGGACGTGGACAGCAAATGAGGTAGCAGTTGTCTCCCTTGGTGAAATTGTCGTTCTTGTCAGTCACCCCACCAGCTGAATATGTCGCTACCGTTGACCACTCTTAAAGTAATTGTCGGAAATAGAAAAAAAATGTATTTCTCATTTATATCCCAGTGGTAGGGAAATAGGAAACGTAGAAAAATTACTTTACTGAGGAGAGATTAGTGCAGAAAGGAGCAATGCGGTCCAAAACGACTTATTTGGAACAGACCATGGCTTTATGCAAATTAGTGTGCGACGATATTGCATTACAAAAGACACTTTGAAAAGCCCAATTTGAAATTAGACGTAGCTTCATTATAAACGATAGCTGATGTAAAAAATAATAATTTTCATGCTGAAACTATTAAGGATGTAGCTACCATGGAGTCTCACTGTTACTATATAAAGAAACAGATAGGAGGGGTCGTCTCAAAAGCAAAACCTGGACGGGTGTCGCAGACAATCGTTGGGGTCGGAGCTGGGGATAGAGATATCAGCTAAGATAATCTTGTAGGTCAATTATAATAAGATGTTAATACAATACATTCAGTCATATATACCTTTGAGATGACCCTTGTGCGTATAACACTGACACGCGGTACGTCATTTGTCTCCTCCTTTCCGAAATCCTCCTCCGCTAAATTGTTCTGAATCATAAAATGAATAATGTTCACACTAAACTCTTGAGTAACTACGCTAGGAATGGAACTCTGAAAATGTATACTGAGTATTTGTAAAACGTAGTGTTTGTATATGGTGTTTTATAACCATTTGATGAAAATTAAACAGACTTGTACATTCATCAATGATTCTCATTAATATGTTCCTGCCAGGACACGTCTGAAGCGTGTGCTATTGACTGTATGCCAACTTTCAAGCTTTACAAAGTCGGAAAACAGGTATGTTACAAGAACGGCAGATACAATCAAAATAATGAATTCAGAATATGTAACCATCATTTTGATTCATCATTGTTCTCACAGAATTTTTTGCCTTAAAACAAACGTATAATGAACTTCTAAAATCGACCTTATATTCGATTTAATATGCCATGCAGTAATGTAATTTCAAGCGTATGCATGTTGTCAATTTGAAACTGATTACATATGAAGCATTCAGAGACCCGTGAAGGTCCGGGTTAGAATGAGCCTTCAGTAACCCATGCTTGTCGTAAGAGGCGACTAACGGGATCGGGTGGTCAGGCTCGCTGGTTTGGTTGACACATGTCATCGGTTCCCTACTGCGCAGATCGATGCTCATACTGTTGATCACTGGATTGTCTGGTCCAGACTCGATTATTTACAGACCGCCGCCATATAGCTGGAATATTGCTGAGTGTGCGTAAAACTAAACTCACTCACTAACTCACTGTCTCATATTTCATTTAAAGTTAGAGAATTGAAATGATGTTGATCATTATTATCATTAAACGTGGCTGTCACATTTCACCCATTTCCTATGCCCATATTCTTCATGATATTCAGAATAAGATGATGATACATTAATATATTTTAAGTGAAATCTGCAAAAATGATATTATTATATTGTGGTGGAACGTAGACATACTTTATGGCAAAATTATATACCGTGGCAATCAACTCTTTCTTATATATGGTCCTTAATGTAGAAAACGCTGCATTTTGTTATCAGAGCAAATATCAAATGTACGTAATATAAGTATTATAAGATCAGAAATTGTGTCAATCATGAACCTGACCCGTGAAGTTCCGGGTTAGAATTGGTCTTCAGCAACCCATTCTTGTCGTTAGAGGTGACTAACGGGATCGGATGGTCAGGCTTGCTGACTTCATAGACACATGTCTTCGTATCTCATTTACGTAGATCAGTGCTCATGCTGTTGATCACCGGATTGTCATGTCCGATCATTTACAGACCGCTCTCATATGGCTGGAATATTGACAACAACTACACATAAACAGGTGAGCGTGCGCTAATTATGTAATCTTGATCCTTCTGCAGGTTGACTCACTGGAGGGAGCCGACAAGGAGAAACTGGAGAGCATGATAGTCAGCAAGATGTGAAGTGTGATCACGTGAATGTACAAGTCCATATTAGGAGAAAATAGACTACAAACACGTGAATTACCTCCTGCGACTCCCACCAGTGGCAGAGAGTAAAATATAGAAGAATCTAGATGCTAGGTTTCCGCCTTATCAAATGGCATGTTGTTTATGGTAATAAAGAATCATTTTAACTGGTACAGTGTTTACTCCATTCTGTTTGGCCATGATGAATGAGGCTGGGTGAATTTCTCACATAACTAGGTATTCATGGTTCCGACTTTCGCGCCAAGCTCCGCCCACCTTGGTTACTGTTGCTACGTCCCCCAAGCTTTGGGATGCCGAGCTGTCTAAATGGCGGATGCACTGGCAGGCACCGAATGCCTGTTGACAGTTACGGACACAATATCTGTTGCATTTTTGTCGGATCACGCTACTTTAACGTGGAAATCGCAACAGAAAGGCTTAAACTATTTCTCGCAAGTGAAGAGTGCCTGTGTATCAATTAACTACTGGCAAACAAAGATAAGTATAGCAACGACCTGACAATTGACCCGTATTAGCATGTATGAGTGCCGCCCACTGGCGCTTGCCATTGTTAGCGAAGGTGCCCAAGGTTGTCCGCAAGCAAGTGTAGTGCGATGGGTGAAGCAGGGAGCAAAACGTGTGCAGCTACGCGCGGAATCAATTTCATCGTCATGTAATGCACGTGCACTAGTCTACATCTTATCCACCTTTCACAAACCAAATGGGTGCTCATTGCCGTGCACCGCCTACTTCTCGTAAACGCGTTCTCTGCACCGGTCCAACTTATCCTTGTTTGCCAGTAGGTATTGTGTTAGGGGCGTTTTGTCGCATGTCAGTGCCTGTTTATCAGTTTACATGTCTCGGCAGATTCACCTTGCAAGACGAGTTAACCCCTTTCTAAAGGAAACACATGCAGCCATTTATGGAGGGTTAAACATTCATATATGCACATACTAGTGGTGTACATAAATAGATTGCATTTCAAAGGCTATAGGTTGCAGTTCTGTGTTGTCGCTATGAAATATCACCCTGCTGAGCTCTTAATATACAACAAACATCACCTTGCAGAGTTCTTGATTTAAACATCAACTTGTTGAGCTCTTGATATGAAACATCAACCTGCTGAGTTTTCCACCTTGTTGAGCTCTCGCTATGAGACATCACCCTTCTGAACTCTTGATATGAAGCAATGCCCTGTAGAGCTCTCGCTGTGAAACATCAGCCTTAGGAACATCTTTACTGTACAGACAAGCATCATTTTAGGATATGTCTTATAACTACATTGACCCGGAGGACATATGTTGCACAAAATATAATCATCATACACACACCGACATGACATGTGACAACGAAATGGCAGTGACCTTCTTGGACAAAACCTCTTTAATATCTGTTTATCAAGTCTCCCCGAACATACGCAGAAAGGAAGAACGAATTCCAGACAAGGCAATATAAATGTATCCGTATAATCCACATTTAAAGCTGACTGCTGGGCAAAATATAGTATACACTTGAAACCTGGATGAGACGAATCAATTTCTAATGTTATTGGGGCGGTGAGGTAGCCTAGTGGTTAAAGCGTTCGCTCGTCACGTGAAGCCAATTGCCGGTGTCCCCCGCCGTGATATTGCTGGAATATTAATAAAAGCGGCGTAAAACTCAATTCACTCACTCACTATCAAAGCAGGTATCAAAGCGTTAAAGACGCCGACATACTGCACACATAAGGTCCTACGATATCCGTATCAAGTTAATCACCATTTGGTTTCCTATTTGTTTCATTTTAGCCACCATGCTTCAAACAAGACTAATCCCTAGTCTTTGAACATACATAATTTTGATGTACACAAACGATTCCTTTTAAATTGAAAAGGAACTCCATTGAGAACCTGAGGAAATCTAGACTTGCTTCATGTCTAGTTTTAGCATTGCAGAAAGGACAGGGCGAAAGGGGAAATAATGAGGTTCAGAGACTGTGAGACAGACTTCAATCAAACCTGAGGGTGTACTAAAACTCTTACCCCTAACTATGGAGGTTTGAGGGCGTTAGAGTGAGAGTTTTCTCTGTATAGCAGAAGGAGAATGGACGCATACATGTTCTACACACATTCATATCCATGGTTAGATGTATCGTTGATACATTCCCACTGAATAGTCTTCGGACTTTGTATTGCGTTATTGAAAACCAGCTCGTTTATACATAAGACAGAATACCCTTGTACACTTCTTCCCTTTCTGTGGACTGTCGTGGACACAAAAGGCACAGATCAGTTTAGTGAATGAATGCTCGGGGATTGTGTGGAACCTGTTGGGTTACATTTTAGTAACGGGTATTAGCAGGACAACTGTGCTTTCAACTATGTGATATGTTTACCTCGTAAAATCGACTCAGGACAAAGTTTGGCAACAAAGACGTTATAGTCAGCATGGGATTAACGTATCATGTAAATGCATTCCGATACACTGAGGTATAAACTCACGCCTAACCGACCAAACCCTTGAGGGAGTGTGAACGCGTAAGTGAGACTATTCTTTTAAATCATCCCGTAAACGGTACGATGTTAATTTCTCATATTACACTCATATTTTCGCATTTACTTGACTTGATAACTATGTGATTTAGACTTAATATAGAACATAGTGGTATAGGCAAACAGGCAGACAGTGTAATCTTGTCAGAAGTACGAACAACGGTCATGTCCATTTAAGCTACAGGACACGAGTGACCCACTAGTGTTAGGTGCCCCAATTATCTCTGTAGCTTCCTGAAGGAGGGCCAGAAACCCATGATCAAGTCAAAACATTGATTACACGACAGTCTGCTGACTGGGTTCCGTCCTGTTGCGCAACTTAGTACAATAACCAGTCCAGACATTTGAGACCAATTCATTCAACTGGATACATAAATATTAATCAGTATTATTTGATACATCTAAGCACTTGTATACTGCAACACTACGCTCCTTTTAATCCTTGCTAACACGTCATGCAGCGTGCTCTGTCGTACAGCGTGCTCTGACAAACGCAAATCTGGAAATCGTAGAAATCTCAAAACTAGGCTCTGTCGCTAGAACAGTTTGGCGTTCTGGTACGGACTTGAATAATTATATCAATCACATTGTGCGTTACAGAACTACACTGAATAAGCGCAAAAAATCACATATCAGGTGTAACCAGTGAGCCAGATGACTTGTGAATCATTTTACGACCTCATCAAACAGGGGCAGTCTGTGACGTCTTAGTTAAGGTCATGCTGCCTACACTTCGCCATAAAATATAGCAATACGATGTTATTAAAGTTTAAGATTAAAATTAATTTGTAAATACCATTTTATTCTGAAACAAGGAATTGAAATTCAGTGTAACTATAGTTGTGTGTGGTGTCTCTTTTCACTTTCACACGAGAAAATTCGGATCTACTGAAAAGTAGGTCATTGTCTGAACAGGTTAATAAGACTCATGTTTCGGTTGGTTGAGGTATTGTGTTAGTGAACCCTGGTTATGTTTCTAGGCTTGTCAGCACCATGGTCGTGGGTTCCACCGGTACCGATGTGTGAGTGAGTGAATGAGTGAGTGAGTGTGTGAGTGTGTCTGTGTGAGTGAGTGAGTGAGTGTGTGTGTCTGACTGAGTGAGTAAGTGAGTGAGTGAATGAGTGAGGTTCTACGCCGCTTTATCTATATTCCAGCAATATAACGACGGGGGGCACCAGAAATGGGCTTCACAAATTGTGCCCATGTGGGGAATCGAACTCACGTCTTCAGCGTGACGAGCGGGCGCTATAACCATTGGGCTACCCCACCGACTCTGTCCCGCCCACTAGCCGTATATTTTAGTAAATATGCCTATAACGAGCAACAGCTATTAATAATGAACTAAAGTTAGTGGCATCTTGACTTCTTTACAACCGGGAGAGGGGGTAACCTAGTGGTTAAAGCCTTCGATCGTCCCGCCGAAGGCCTGGGTTCGATACCCCACATGGGCACAATGTGTGAAGTCCATTTATAGTGTCCCCCGCCGTGATACTGCTAGAATACTGCTAAACCCAACTCGCTCACTCACTCTTTAAAACCGTGTAAAGAGAAGGTTGGTGTAACGTATTTTCCATATAAGGAAATACATTTGTTCATTTGTCTAAAATAAAATTATGTTTCAGTATTACAACTCATGAGAAGATGAGACAAGTCAGGACACGGGTGAGATATTTCAATATTTTGTCACATTATTCGGGAATCCCCAACTGATAGAAAGTTCTCTGTTAATATATTACGTCGATGTTGATTCCAAAGTTATGTCAGTGACCCAATTGTGAGTTATCGAAAGAATGGATCTCTGGATCTTACCTCACACATAAATGTCGCTTTTTCTGATTGGCGTCAATGATGCCTTTAGCAATCTTCCAACTTATTATTTTCAATGTACCCTTCGATTTACAAATTATTTATCTAACATTTCAATGTACCCCGCTGTCAATGTACCCCGCTGTCAATGGCAACTCATTTGGTACTTCGTGGTAGTAATTCTTTATCTCGAATAACATTGAATCACGTATGATGTACGGAAATTACCGATGTTTTGCGAATGCAAATCGATGGAAGGGAGATAACTCTAAATCTGTTTTTCTTGTCAGCAAAATCTAGCGATGGCTACAAAAAGATTTGTACCCGTGCTTCAAACAATTCAAAATTAACATTAAGGTGTTCGGTAAGATAAATAGGTTGTTGACTGGTCCCTCGGGGCCCATGGGTTGATGTACCTTCGGGCTCAGGGAACATAAACAAACATCGAGGGTACATCAACCCATGCCCCCCTCGTGACCAGTGAACAACTTATAAGACTTCAGCTATCGTGACATCGTGTTCCTGAAGGTAAACGTCGACGTCAACAAGGTACAGTTATCTCCCTCTATCTCTTTACTAACGCGATTCAGGTGGATAATAACTCGGCCCATTCCCATAGTTAACAGACACAGCGACATACACACATAACCACGCACAAACAAACAGGCAGGGACACACAGACACAAACAGAGAAACACATAAACACATTGACACATAGAGAGACACACAAAAACACGCACATGAATACACTTTTATTTCAGGTGGACGGTAATCGCAAACTATTACCGAAATAGCACACACACGCGCGCGCACGCGCACAGACGCGCGCGCACACACACAAACACAGACACACACACCGGCACAGACATACAGACGGACACAAAGACGGACGCAAAGACACAAACGCAGACACACACGCATGCACAAATGTGCGCACATGTATGGGCGTTCGTATTCTCACATAGTGTTCGCAATGTACGTTTTTCACTAGCCGGAACGGATGATTGAAAAAAACTCTCATTAATGACATTGATGTAAAATGAAGTAAGTGACCTTTGTTCCAACCCATTTTGTTCTAACCCTAAGGTCCGGGTTAGAATGAACCTTCAGTAACCAATGCTTGTCGTAAGAGGCGACTAACAGGATCGGGTGGTCAGGCTCGCTGACTGGGTTGACATATGTCATCGTATCCCAATTGCATAGATCGATGTGCATGTTGTTGATCACTATATTGTATGGTGCAGACTCGATTATTTACAGACCGCCGCCATATAGCTGGAATATTGCTGAGTGCGGCGTAAACCTAAACTCGATCACTCACTCACTCCGACCCATTTAACGTTCAGCATTTTAATATTGCTTGATGGTTTATTTGAAACATAGCACGACGTACCAACTAATTAAGTTATAGCACAGTGTCGTAATGTCAATATAATTCTCCCCAGTCAATAACACTGATATCGCACAATTCTATAACAGGAGACGGCTACCGCGTGCAACGTCACCTTCCTGCCCACCTTTAAATTCTACAGGAGGAAGAGAGAGGTAAGTTCAGTCCTTTATACAGTACACCGGGGCGGTGGGGTAGCCTAGTGATAACCGCCGTGATATTACTTGCATATTGCTGAAAGCGGCATAAAACTCACTCACTCACTTCTACAGTAAACTACGGTTATACCGAACTCGAAGGAAAACTAACTGCAGTTTGATATAATCATAGTTCGTTATACGTATTTCGGCTATAATGCACATGCAACAAGTACAAGACAAGATTCGCTATATCTAACAATAATTGTGTAACTATTATTATTCGTTATACATATGTGTTCTATATGTAAGCAGAGTTTACAAAGTTTGACTGCCCATTTATACAATAACGCCGCGTGGTATTCCCCATACAATCCTCAGTGTCGCATAACAGGGTGGTTGACCAAGGTGGTCCGACTGTGTTGCCTGACCGCCTGCGTGTCGTCGTGTCCAACGGCATGGATATTTGGTCATGCTTTCAGTCAAAGGTATGTGAGCCGTGAAGAGATTCGGGTTAGAATTGGTCTTCAGCAATCCATGCTTGTTGTAAGAGGCGACTAATGGGATTGGGTGGTCAGGCTGGCTGACTTGATGACATATATCATCAGAATCAGAATTGCGTTTAAACAACGCAATTAAACAAACAGGCAAACAAAAAAATCACAGATGATTCATTACAAAGCATGCATGTTTTCAGGTTGATCAACTTGAAGGCGCAGACCAATCAGAACTTGTAACAAAGATACAGAAACATATGTGATCTATTCATGAGACGTTTAACTCCTTTGGTCACCTTTGGAAACATCATGAGAAGACAGCATCAAACAATTGAAGCTCCGGTGTTAAAAGCATGTTACCTCGTTGTTGGACGATATCAGCGATGTAGATCATTTTCAGATTCCAAAGGGACCTTCCCGTGCAGGAACATGCAAGAGACAATATATGGCTTTGTTATATTGAAATAAAACTTTAGCAATGCGCTGTATATTCTGATTTTGTTTTATGTATTTGCAATCTTAACACAGGATGTTCGTCCCGATAGGGATAATCGAATAAGAATTAAGATGATTGTCATCCATTCACGTTTTACAGTATTTAATTACAATTTTGAGTTTCTTTTTTGGAAGATTTGCATCCAATTACGAATAGTTACAATTATGATGAACTCCTAAAGTAGTTATTTGGAAGAAAATACCATTAGTTCCGATCTATACTGCCTGTGGTCTATAACAAAATCAGGTATCAAATTCTCTGTTTGGATAAATGAATCGTGAACCCCGAAATCGAACTCTTGATTGTCGTATAGATTTAATTGATATAAAAAACACTACTTTGTGCCACTTATTCGATAATCCCAAAAGATTTTAATCAGTAAATATTTTAGATGATTTGATAGGAAAAAATAACTTTAACGGCTTTGAAGTGTAATCTGACACAGTATATTTTGTGATTTTTTTCTTCACTTTAAACATTTATAATATTTCAGTGGTAAAGAAGAATTGATATTAGAACTAAGTCGCCAACTAAAGCACGATTAATCGGATTTCATCATTTGGGTTGACTTCATTGCACTTTTCTCAACCTAATCAAAACCAAAACCAAAGTTGAGATAAAGGCTTTACTTGTTTGTTAAGAAAGCGGTCCTATGACATAACAATTTTTTCACGATTGAATCAAGCGCTGGTATCAACCATGAACTACTCGCCTTGGTGTATACTGGCTATAACCAGGAACGGCTGATAGGATAAGGATAACCCTTACTATTTCCACTAAGTGAAACAATATCAGTAACAGTTACAATTTTAATTCTAATTGTCAATCAAACGTAGTGTGACTTCGTGCGTATAAGAGGACTAAATTTGGGACAAGAGAGATGTATTTGGAATAAAAGGTAAATATATTGAGGATATTTCATGTAACTAGTGCAAGACGATGTGTCTGTCTTCGAGTGAAAGTGTCAGGAATGTATAACTTGTTTTGGTCACTCTATGGCTGAAAAAGCATAATGTGACCTTAAATCTTAACTCACTCACTCACTCACTCATCGAGTGAAGTGAAACACGTGTTATTTTCAGTAGTGGGGTATAACAGTTTTCACGTTACGCGATGACGGTCACACCATATTTCACAAGATACATGATATATCCTATTTACTATATACTTTCAATGGGTTAAATTACGGAAAACTACATACGTCATAATTCGCTGTCAATTATTAGCAGATTTTGAAATAACGCCATTTTTTGAAAGTCGCTAACACCGATAATGATGTCATACGTACGTCAACACATGGACCGGGGCATCCATCCCAGGTGGGCGTGGCCGTGTCATCAGTTTGGTGTTATTGTTCACGCTTCTCTCTAATTTGTGTCTTACGCCACCATCTGCAACTTGCACTACTGTGTTGACAACTGAGACGCCTGTTGCGTACACACCCCGAAACTGAATCAGTCTGTAAAACAATTAAGTCTATAGTCGTATTTAAATGTTATCATCTAATTTCCAAATGTACTATGACCGCAGATACTATAGTATCTCCGCCGATACTGTGCACACTTCTGTCTAACTAGCGTCTGACGTCATCATCGGTAACTACCGTGTTGAGAACTCTGTCTAGCGTACACACCCAGAAACTGAATCAGTCTGTAAAACAATTAAGTCTATAGTTGTATTGAATTATTATTATCGCTTTTACACCGTCTTAATTTACTATGTCAAGGAATGGGAATGCAAGGGAATAGAATCATTACAACGCCAATGACAAAGAACAATACGCGAAACAGATTTATTTTTACATAAAGGCAAAATAGTGTTACAAATATATCAATGGATTACTTAATATCAGTGATGATTTAGTGATGTTTTCGATAAGTGACTTGGTTGACACATGTCATCGGTTCCCAATTGCATAGATCGATGCTCATGCTGTTGATTACTGGATTGTCTGGTCCAGACTCGATTATTTACAGACCGCCGCCATATAGCTGGAATATTGCTGAGTGCGGCGTAAAACTAAACTCACACACTCGATAAGTGTGCCCTTCCCTGCTCCGTCACTCTCACAATTTGCATGAAAAGACTGAACAAGAGTCTGTGAGAGTACACGTTTTACTTGATGATATTTGAACATACATCTAGTAAATTCGCATCAGTAAATTTGGTCCGGTATGGAAATACATTCAAATTGATCCAACTATATTGAACCTAAACTTGCATATTTCTTAATAGGAAACTACACAATTTAAACATGAGTTTACATGAATATCCATGAAATTTGATGGTTCATTTTATAGTTTATATAACCATTGGGCGTACACATATATATACATGCAGTTTTGTGAACTTGAATTACTGCTTCCAAGATCATGTGATCTTTCAAAACGTATTTGTTGGTCAAAGAGGATAAACATGGCAGATTTTATACGCTATAAGGTTCCATTGCTATTTCCCGTCATGGATTATAAACACGATTTCCCGGTTAACAGGCCCACATTGAATGTAGTTACGTCACGTGGTGTCCCCGTGAGTTGTTTACTGCACTGAGATTGGTGTACACCCTCTCACGCTCATTGTCACCTCTGTGATAATTAAAGCCAAATATCCAGTAATAAATCTTCGTGTTACAGTTTACGCAATGTCATTTATGATTAAGTTCAACTGATTCTTTATTGAAGATTTTTCTTTCTGTTTTCTTTCAAAAATCTTCATCACAACAGGTACAAAAGTCAGGAATGTTGTCTTATGAACGAGTCCAGTTCCCTGAGCTGCACTGCGTTATCTTGATTACGAATCAAAGCATGGACACTGTCCGTAGTATATATCAGAAAGTCATCAATATCCAGTCACGACGCCATGTAATTCCTGTTTGTTGCTGGTTGTTGTTGGATTCAAGATAGGGTTCCTGATATAACTGTATTTCTGAGTGGACCAATACACTGCATCACTATATCAGTTATCACACAACCAACAGTTCCTGTTTGTTGCTGGTTGTTGTTGGATTCAAGATAGGGTTCCTGATGTAACTGTATTTCTGAGTGGACCAATACATTGCATCACTATATCAGTTATCACACAACCAACAGTTCCTGTTTGTTGCTGGTTGTTGTTGGATTCAAGATAGGGTTCCTGATGTAACTGTATTTCTGAGTGGACCAATACATTGCATCACTATATCAGTTATCACACAACCAACAGTTCCTGTTTGTTGCTGGTTGTTGTTGGATTCGAGATAGGGTTCCTGATGTAACTGTATTTCTGAGTGGACCAATACATTGCATCACTATATCAGTTATCACACAACCAACAGTTCCTGTTTGTTGCTGGTTGTTGTTGGATTCAAAATAGGGTTCCTGATATAACTATTTCTGAGTGGACCAATACATTGCATCAATATATCAGTTATCACACACAACCAACAGAGCGACACTGGATATGGACACAGATTCAAGTTTGTTTGTTTGGTTGTTGTTTAACGCCGCACAACATGTCAGCTGTATAGCGGTGGTCTGTAAATACCGAGTTTGGACCAGTCAGTCTAGTGATCTACACGAGTCAACAGCGGACACAGTAGTGTATTAAGACACACAACTTGCCAGGAATTACACTGTGCAAGTTGATTCTCACTTTAGTTTCTGCCCATATCATTTTGGAATGAATGTCGATGATGCAATTAGGATCAGCTTAAGCGTACCAAACATTAACATTTAACTCAGTCATACTTTGTGCTGACTTTGTATCGATCATATCTTCCACCTTGCGTTTTGTAAACACGTTTTATCTCTATACTATAACTCTGACTTGTGCGTATAAAGAATACAAAGAAGTTGTTATCCATAACAGTGAGTGAGTGAGTTTAGGTTTACGCCAGTGATCAACATCATGAGCACCGATCTGCGGAATGGGGATACGATGACATGTGTCAACCAGGTCAGCGAGCCTGACCACCCAATCCTGGATTACGACAATATTAAGGAGTAGATTATATTCTGTATGGAATACCTACATTCAAATGCAAACAATAGCTCGATAAACACGTTGCATAGCACACTAGATTGTACACATTGAAAAGGGTCGCATTAATAAACTTACCTTTTCACAAATGTCACACGTTTCTCTTCGACATTGTAATCTGAGTGAGTGAACGAGGTTTAATCCATATCAATATCAAGGGGGGGGGGGGACATCACAAATATTCTACCCATTTTGGAAGTTAAACCCACGTCATTGCCATGACGACCAAACACTTTAACCTTAACACGAATATGACTGCCCTTCAAAAGTCATGACTTTGAACTTTTTGAAGTAAATGTAATTCCAAATATAGCATTTGTATAAAGTGTGTTTGGTTTAGTGCAGTCGTGCAGCATCCATCCGGATTCATTTATGGTAGACATGTGTAGAACATTTCCAAATTTGAAGCATCAGTGCCCCAAACTATGTCCAATACAATTCCCAATACAATACAACTGACCAGACTAAGCATATGTTTATGACGGGTGCTACCGTTGGGGCAGGATACGCTCACCTTTTCGCGAACACCTGGTGTCATTACTGTTTTATGGTGATTCATAAACACATGATCTGTCACCGTATCGCGTGGCTACGATTTCTGGATCGTCTGGTCCAGACTCGATATGTTTACAAACAACATTGTACAGCTGTAATACTGCTGAAACAAATACATATTAATCATTATATAGTCTGAATTGCACAACCGAGTCTGTGTTCAGCAGGGATGTCTAATGGATGTGAAGGCAAAGGGTATTAAAACAATAAAGCCGAAGGCACAACTCTCCAACGCGAATTTGGGATCCGTAGACGGCTGGATTATCCTTGACCCATTTTCTGAAAGAAGACAGTATTCCAAATTGTAGGTGTCTGGAATAACGAGGTTTTGCTGATAATAAACGTGGCCATGTACAAATCAATGGAAAAACGGACC